CCACCCCAACCCCTGCAGTGCTCTCCTTGGAAACCACCAATCCACTCGTCAGTTCTCTGAGTTAGTTTTTGCTTTAGGTTCAACATACAGGTGACATCAGGCATGATTTGTTTTTCCCGTCTGACAAATTTCACTCAGCAAATTCCCTCCAGGTTCATCCTTGTTGTCACAAATGGTAGGATTTCCTTATTTGTTACAATGGAACAATATGCCATTATATCTGTCAATCAATCCACCTGTCATTCTATCTATCTATCTGTCATCCATCTATCTTTGTATCACATTTTCTTTATCCTGTCCTCCACTAATGGACGCTGAGGTTGTTTCCATGTCTTGGCTCTTGTGAGTAATGCTGCTGTGCACCCAAGAGTGCAGATGCTCTTCGACGTGGTGGTTTCCTTTCCTTCAGATAGACAGCCAGAAGTTGGTTTGCTGGATGCTATGGTTGTTCTGTTTGTCGTTTTCTTAGGAACCTCCATACTGTTTTCCCTAGTGGTCATACCAATTTGCAGTCTCACCAACAATGTACAAGAGTCCCCTCTTCTACTCATCCTCGCCGACACTTGTTACCTCTTACCTGTCTGAGAATAGCCACTCTGATGGTGCGAGGTGCTTTCTCATGGTGGTTTTGATTTGCATTGCTCTGGTGATTGGTGATGTTCAGCCCCTTTTCGTTTCTATTGAGTTGTATAAGTTCCATGCATATTCTGGAAACTAACTTCTGATTGGATCGTGGTTTGCAAATATTTTCTCCCAACTTGCAGGCTGCATGTTCATAATGTTACTCGTTTCTTTTGCTGTGCAGAAACTCTTCTGTGTGTTTAATTTTACTTGTTTATCTGTTAATTCTTACTTTTGTTGATCGTCCTTTTGGTGTCCTATCCATAAAATCATTGCCAAGACAAATGTGAAGGGGATTTCCCCAGTTTTTTTCTAGGAGTTTTATGATTTCCAGTGTTAACATTTAAATCTTTAATCCCTTTGGAGTTAATTTTTGGGAATAATATATGATAGGGGTCCAGCTGTGCTCTTTTGCATGCAGCTGTCCAGTCTTCCGAACACCATATACTAATGTGATCCTCCTTTCCCCATTCTATGCTCTGGGTCCCCTGATCAAAGATTAGTTGACTGTATATGCTTGGCTTGTGCCTGGTCTCTCTATTATGTTCGGGTGGTCCACCGTCTGTTTTTATGCCAATACCATACTTTTTGTTTACTGCAACTTCGCAGTTTAATTTGAAATCAGGAAGTGTGATGGCACTAGGTGCGTTCCTCTTTCTCGTGATTTCTTTGGCTATTTGATGTCTTCTGTGGTTCCATACGAATTTTAGGATTATTTTTTCTATTTTTGTGATAAACGTCAATGGAATTTGTAGGGATTGCATTGACCCTGTAGATTACTTTGGGCAGTATGAACATTTTAATGATATTAATTCTTCCAATCTTTGAACACTGGATGTCTTCCTATTTACTTGAGTCTTCCTCAATTGCTTTCATCCTGTCTTACCGTATCCAAGGTCCAGTTCTTTCACGTCCCTGATTGAATTTATCCCTAAATATTTTGTTTTTGATGGTACTGTAAATGGACTTGCTCTTAGTTTCCCTTTAATAGTTTCTTGTAAGTGTATAGAAACACCACTCACTTTTGTTTATTGAATTTGTCACTTTCCTGTCAAGTTGTTTATTAGTTCTGAGAGGTTCTTAGTGAGTTCCTCGGGTTTTCTCTAAGATTTACATAAGAGATATATAAGATTATGTCACTGGCAGGCTGAGACCATTTTCCTTTTCATTGCCAATTAGATCTTTTCATTACTTTTTCTTGCCTAATTGCTCTGTCCGGGATTTTCAGTACTATGTTGAAGAGTGGGGAGAGTGGGCACCCTTGAGTTGTTCCTAATCCTAAAGGAAAAGCTTTTTGATTTCACCATCGGGCATGCTATTATCTGTGGGCTTGTCAAATATGGCCTTTATTATGTTGAGCTACTTTCCGTCTCTACGTAATTCGTGGAGAGTTCCTATCATGAAAGGATGTTGAATTTTGTGAAATGCCTTTTCTGCATCCATTGAGTTGATCATATGATTTTTAGCCTTTGTTCTGCTAATGTGATATATCACATTTATTCATTTGTGTGTGAGGAGCTTTCCTTGCAGCGCAGGAAACAATGCACATGGACCATGGTGTATGATCTCTTTGATGTGCTGTGGAATTCTGTTTGCTAGTATCCTGAAGGAGTAATGGAGACTGAGCATTATACTCGGAAACAAAAGTAGAAGGCAGAAATTCAAGGGGGCTTGCAGTTGTCATTTCTCTAAGAATATCAGGAATATCCCAGCTTGCTTAATTCGTGCCTCTTTACCTCTATTTCTCCTTTGTTGTGTGGTAGTATTGTGATTTGAAGGGACTATATTCTTCAATGATATAAGACTTATAGTAGTACAATGTGAGATAAAACGTTGAGTCATGAGTTGGAGAAAATTTTCTTCTTTCATCTAATTTTTCTTATAGTAATGATTCATGGTAAAACTCTTAGCAAATGAGAGACTGGGGGTTTAGGATTGAACCTGGGCTTATCTGACTCTTAAAGTCCATAAAGTGAAGCTCTTTAGGCATGTAGATCAAAGATACACAGATAGACAGTTAGATAGATAGATTGACAGATCTGTGGTGTTTCTGTGTTTGTGTATTCTGTGTTCTCTATCTCAGGCCTCACATGTTGAAAATTAGGGCAAATTGATTGTTAGATGCCATTCTTTATCTTGTGGCAGCTGTTCATGTATCTGATCTTGAGGAACTCTGAGGGTTGTAGTTTACCTTAGCAACATAAAAAGTGACCCCAGCCTGACTTGTTTGGGGCACCAGATCTGCCATGACTTTGGTGCCTGCGTGGTTATGATTCACAGCATTTACGAGGGTTGTCCTCAGTGGGAGACTTTCCAGATGCAACCAAGAGTGGATTATCTGAAACTGGAATCCCATTTGAGTAGCTAATTCTCAAATTTTGGATGACAGAAATCAGACATTACTCTGAGAATTGATGTTCAGGTGGGGTGTGAAGTTATGGGGAGCGGTAAATAAGCTGCTGAGGAAAGGCGCTCCTCTTGGCACCCTGCAAGAGTCTAGGTGAGCCATTTGGTGATGACAATGTTTTCAGTCATGTGGCCTCAATGTGCTGAAGTGATGGTTCCACCCCTGCCAGGTCACGGCTGAATGACAATCTTTGTCAAAACCTCTTCCTTATGGAGAGCAACAATGACAGTTCTGGGAACCTAACCCATTCAACTGAGGGGATGTGATGCTAGATTGACTTAGGGATCCTTCATGTTCTGTAGCTTCGCTGCTGAGTCTTTCGCAAGTTTCGAGTGTCTCCTCTTCCTCCTACTCCTCATTTTCCGTTTCCCAGTACAAAACCACATTTCTTGGAAAGCTTCCTGATAATTTGGTCAAGACAATGAGCCTTGAGTCATGTCACTTTAAATGTTGAATACACAGCATTTAGTCATCCCCACTGACTGCAGGAAGGTTTAAAAAACATGTGAAAGGGCGACTCACTAAATACGTTGATGTCATCTCCTGAGTGATGGATATGTACCAAAAAGGACAGGTGAGAGAGAACTTGAAGCAACTCAAGTGCCCTGCAACTGAAGAATGGATAAAGAAGATGTGATAAATATACCACAGATATATATACATACACAAACACTCACACACACAACGGACTCCTACTCACCCACAAAAAACCAAAAGCATCTCATTTGCAACAACATGGATCTACCCTGAGTGCTTGATGTTAAGTGAAATAAACCAGGCAGAGCAAAACAAATACTGCATGTTTTCACTCACATAGGGAAGATATGCAAACACATGGATAAAGAGAACAGATTAGTGGTTACCAGAGGGGGAGGGGGTTGAGGGCTGACTGAAAGGGGTAAAGGGGCACATATGGATGGCAACGGATTAAATCCAGAGTAGTGGCGGTGAGCATGATGCAGTCTATAAAGAAACTGATGAACAATAAGGTATGCTGGAAATGACCCAATGTTATAAACCATTATGGTCTCAGTAAAACAATTAGAAAAAGGAGAGGTATACACTGTGGAGGTGAGAGGATAATGTGGCAAGATGAGGGGTCCAGAGGGCTTAAGGAAAAGACAGAGAAACAGCATGCAAATATACTTAAAACATCATTGTTTTAAAGCCCTAAATCCTGTTTGGAAAGAGAGTGTGAGAAAGCAAATATAGAGGATCAGCCTAAGTCCCTATTTTCTCCTGCTCTTCAGATATTAGTGCTCTGACCCTCTGAATGATGCTAGGTGATGCCGTGGTCCCTGTGGATTCCATGAGGCCCACTTTGGTACAGATATATAAAGGCCACCAGAAGCAGCTTTATGCCCTTGAATTGAAGGAGCAAAGCAGTGAACATAGCATTCTGGTGGTCATCATTTTACTGACTGTTTCTAAGGATAATTATGGGAAGGCCACTGCCACGATCACAGTCCCGTTTAGAAGAAGAAAAGGAGAGAAGATGAGCAAGCCATGGGTCTGAGGGAAATGCAGTGAAGGAAGGACTTGGGTTGAAGAGAAAGGTGTCACCTGGTAGTCAGGCTCTTTTCAACCCAGCACATACAGCAAGATGGCAACCATCTAAAGTGGAACCAAGCAGGCAGCTTTATGATTCAGGAAAGGTGGAAGATAGGAGGGGTCCTCTGCCCCAATGAAGAGATATAGCCTTGGACCACCAGTTAGAGAATCCCCAATGTCTCCCGCTGCCATAAGTCACTGACACTGAGAGCTAAGGCTGGACCTTGTGAGTCATGAGCACCTAATCCAGAGAGGAGATCCTGGTTCAGGAGATTTCCTGTTTCCAGTGTCCCCGTCAGGCCAGTTCTGGATGGATTTGCATTTTGTTTGGGAAATTCTGGGGCAGGCCAGTTTTTGGCAGTTGCACTTTGCCCTGGGCTGGGCGTCAAGCCCTATAAAGAGGTGCTCTGCTGCACGACTGTCATCCTCCTGGTACTCGAGTCCCGACCTCCTTTGGAGAACGTGGTGAGTGTGATTTCTTCCGCTGATCTGTTTTGTGGTGCTCTCAGATATTGAATTTATTCTGGAGTCAGCAAGTTTGTTGAGTCCATAGGTATGATGGTGGGTTTGATGCTACTTAGGTGATGGAAGCTTAGCCTTGGGGCACAATAATATCCTGTCTTGACTTGTGTTTTGGTAGCTAGTTTGACGTCCTATATGGAAAAGCAATTCATAGAAAGGTTTGATGTGAAGAAGAGGAAAGACCAAAGTATTTTTCTCTCTGCTCTGTCTCTTTGATTTCCCTTTCCTCCCGCTGGGGTTTCCAAGGCTTAGTAGGTATGAGGCCCTCGCATTTTCCTGCTGGCCATTTGCTCTGTACCTAGGTCAACCTATGGGGACCTCAGAAGAGATCCCAATGATAGTAATTGCTTGCGAGTTTTCCCAGGATTTCAGAACTTCTGATGGCCTTTCATGAAGATGTTCTTTTCATTAGGAAAACATGATTTGCTTCTATCAGAGATATTTTCCATGAAAAAATTATGTGAGGAAAGAGAGGGTTTTCTGAGGACTGATGAGGCAATTGGCTAAAGAGGAAGCAGGGTGGTGGAAGGCGCAAAAGAGGGAGTTGAGAGATTAAAGCCCAATCTTGGAAATGGGAGAGGGAACATCTCCTGGTATTCTATCAGCCGCGGTTTCTCTCTCTGGAGGAGTCCCTACTTGTGAACACTGTCTCTAATTTCTTTCAGCTCCGAAGACTCCAGAAAGATGTCTTCTCAACAGCAGCAGTGCAAGCAGCCCTGCCAGCCCCCTCCTGTGTGCCCACCTAAGTGCCCAGAGCCGTGCCCGCCCCCAAAGTGCCCAGAGCTGTACCCACCCCCACAGAGGCAGCAGAAATGCCCTCCTGTGCAACCTCCTCCACCATGCCAGCAGAAGTGCCCACCCAAGAGCAAGTAACAGCTTCAGCATCAACAGGATCTGGAAAAGAGAGGACCATTGGCTCGCCTGCTTCCACAGCTCCACCTTCACCTTCTCTTCTAAGCCTTCATGGTGGCAGAACCGGCTCCTCTAGCCTTCAGCCTGTAAAATGCCTGTGTGACTCCTGATGGCAAAAGGGTTCCTTCCTGAGGCTGTCACGCTGCTCCTCTCCAGGAGGGAGCTGAGGAAGGGCATCCTCAGCTGTGCCAGCATCCCAGAGCTTCAGGAGGAAGAGCAGCAGGGGATGCTCCTGATGTCTTTTGTGTCTTTTGTTTCTTCCATTTCCTGAATAAAGTGACATTTCTTGTGATGGGATATTGTCTTTCTCTGAAAACCTGCTCATTGGCTATATCTTATTATCATTTGGTTTTCTTTCTTCCAAGACACAGGTCTCATATTCAGTGTTATCTGAATTTTGGGCCCCTACCAAATATTATTTCAATCTAATATCAAATCCATTTTATTTTCCTTAATTATTCTTTGATGATTTTAGGAACAAAGTATTTAATTCCTTAAGATTTCAATCTCTCTGTTACAAAGTAATGTAAATAAATCCTATTTACATTACCAACTTTTCTTAGGCTTGAGATTGAGTGGTAATTTAGTTGTCACAATGCCTGGCACATCTTAGCACTCGGTAAGGCATTAGGTCCTCCTTGTCTACATTATCATCAACAACCTCATGACCACCCTCACCATCACCACACCCTTCACATTTGTTGCAGCTGCAATGTACAAAGTCCAAAATACAGAACCAGGATAGGAAACAAGAAGATTCCAAACTGTATTACTCTCTCATATTCTGTTGTTCTCTTTCTTTTGTGATTCACTTTATTTCTTTTTGTGATGTTACAGATGAAGAACTTTTGGGGAGTAGCAGAGTATTCTGCATAAAATCATTGTAGTTCTGCACTTGTGGGGAGCCCAGAAGGAAGGGAAGTAATCAGGCTCCCTACAAGGGAAAGGACTGCCTCCTCTCCACGTGACCCACCTGCTCCTCTTATTCCAACAAAGCACCAACATTCAGAGTCCTCACATGTGTCTTCACCGTGAAATTCTTCTCTTGAAGGCTCTACCCCCATGTAAGAAGGATATTGAGGTTAACATGTTTATTTAAATTTGCAAATTTACTCTTGTCATGCAGCTTGTTTTCTAAGTGCTGAGCCTACTAGTCATGTAAGTTGCAGAAAGAGTAATGGGTTCTTTAAGTATATTCTTTCTGTGGTCATAAGAGTCCACACATGCAAGAGTTAGTTGTGATCACACACTCACACACACACAACACCCTAATAAATAAAGTGTTAATTTTAAAGCAACAAAGTCTCCCTATTAAATCATAGTATACTTAGTCCTATTAAATATTAAGAGGGTCATCCTCTTCCTACGTTCTCCACTCAGGAAGCTGGAAGTAACTGACTCCAGTATGATGGAGCTGCAAATCGAAGGAGAGTCCCAGATTACCGCTCAACCCTCATCAGATTGTGACATGACTGAAAAATAAACACTGTTATTTGAGGTGGTTTCTACTGTAGCTAGTGTTATTTGTTCTCATACATACATTGGTTGTGAAGTGCAGTGGTACCCCAGGAAATCTCAATTGTGTGGCATAGGGTTAGGACTCTGCAGATGGTTCACAAGGAAACTAATACTGGAAACCACAAATATGGTTACACATCTTATTCAATGGCAAATATTTGCTAAAATGGAAACTTGGTAGTGAGTCCAAATGTTGGTTATTTTTTGTCTTCAGCAAAGTATTTCAACAGACATATGTTCATGAAATCATTGTCTAGTTTGCAAGGCAAAAATGAAAAGATAAAAATAGAGCCCCGAAATTCAAAGTCTGGTAGAATTAGAAGAGCTAGTGCTTGTGAGCCCCATAAAGTGAGAGATGGGAGGAGAAATGGTTTTTAACTTTAAGTTCACTCTCATTTGACTGGAACAACACAGAAAACAGATGGAAGTGTGTTGTCTTTCGACTTGTTGCATCAGATAGTCTCAGTAGCTCCATTGGGTTTCGAGAAAGGCAGTAATGTTACAGGCTCTTAACATCAGCCCTGATATCAGTTCCCCCACATTGAACCCAGCGTATATGGGGTTAAAACTAAAACCCACCACCCCCTTTCCTGCTTCTCTAGCTTCACTCATATGTAAATACCTGTTTCTTTAAACTTGGACTCCTTGAGCTTTACAACTAAATGGGAGTTACAAATTGCTAAAAGCCCAGGTGGCCTGGAGTTGGAGGCACACTAAAGTTTAGCTAATCATGTGTCCTTGAAGTTTGCCAGGAAAGCCGCTGTCTCAAGAATATCAAGGAGTGGAGGCTTCGCAGACCTCCACTCCTTGACTCCCGGCGCCGGAACCCACCTCAAACAGGAAGAAGAGACAAAGGTGAAGCATGCCCACCTGCCATCCTCCTGTCTCACCATCCCCCCCGGCCTGGCTGCAAGCAGCCTCTCAAGGCCAAAGGCAGGCTGGTGGAAAAGCACCGAGCTGCACAAGCTACATGTTCCCCCTCCCCTCCCCAAACCCCAAATAAAAATCCCTACCCATTCCTCATCGGGGAGCTAGCAATTTTTGAGGCATGAGCCCTTGCTTTGCTCCCTGTGCCTGTCATAGTAAAAACCTTTCCTCTCCGCTCAAGACTCTGTTCTTGTTATTTGGATTGGCATCGGGTTCAGGGACCAAACTTTCGGTTACAGTAAAATCAATCAGGCCTGAGAATGACTTCTAGGAAAGGGCCTGAGTGTGGTTACTAAATCATAGAAACGACTGGAGGAATGACGTGTATCAGATACCTAGTAAGTCTTTGAGGGAATTGATGACTAAACAAACTAGAGTTCAGACTAAAAGACTGATTTTTCAAGAATAGAAAAACTTTCCAGCCCTCCTTTCTGCACTTTCCACACCACCTATTTCTGATGTGGTCAATGCAGGCAGCCAAAGAGGAATAACCCCTGGGCGATGGATGCAAGGGCCACAGAGAATGCTGGATGAGGGATTCTCTCCCAGAGAATAGGATCAGAACCTAATCAATGCAAGATGGAGAAGGAAGGCAGAGATTCTCCAACTTTCTTTCCCTTTTGTATGATGGTTATTCTCTTTCATCTTTTCCTCCAGCTTTAGTGAGGAATAATTGAGAAATAAAACTGTGTATATTTAAAGTATACAATAAGATGATTTAACATACTTATACTTTGTGAAATGATTACTACAATCAGGTTAATTAACATCTCCATTACCTCACAGAGTTAAGTTTCTTTGTTTGTGTGTGGGTGTGTGATGAGAATGCTTAAGGTTTACTCTCTTAGCAAATATCAAGTACCCAACACAGTATTATAAACTATAGTCTCAAGGCAGTACATCACATTCCCAGAGCTTATTTATCTCATCACTGAAGACTTTCACCCTTTGACCAAAATCTCTGCATTTCCCCTATCCCTCTGGCCCTGGCAGCCACCATTCTACTCTCTGTTTCTATGAGTTCAAGTTTCATAGATTCTCCAAATAGGTGATACCTTTCAGCGTTTGTCTATCTCTGTCTGGCTAATTTCATTTAGCATAATGTCCTCTAGGTTCATCCATGTTGTTGAAAGTGGCAAGATTCCCTTTTTTCTCATGACAGAATATTATTCCATTATATATATATAGTACACACACACACACACAGTAACCATATCTTCCTTCATTCATCTGTTCATGGACACTTCGGTTATTTCCATATCTTGGGTATTGTTATTAATGCTGCAGTGAATCTGGGAGTGCAGATATCTGTTCAAGATATGATTTCCTTTCCTTTGAATATATAGCCGGAAGTGGGATTGCTGGATCATATGGTAGTTCTATGTATAATTTTGTAAGGAACCTCCATACTATTTTCCATAGTGGCTATACCAATTTACATTTTTACCAACAATGTACAAGGATTTTCTTTTCTCTACATCCAAGTGACACTTGTTTTATCTGATCTTTTTGATAATAGTCATCAGATGGGTGTGAGGTGATATTTCATTGTGGTTTTGATTTGCATTACTCTGATGATTAGTGACGTTGAGCACCTTTTCATTGTCATTGAGTGGTATCAGTTCCTTATAAATTTTTCGCATTCTGTAGGTCGTTTTTTTCATTCTTTTTTTTTGCTCGTGTGTTTTTTTTCATTTTATTGAGATCATATTGGCTTATAACTTTGTATAAATTTCAGGTGTACATTCTTATATTTCAGTTTCTGTATAGACTGCATTGTGTTCACCACCAATAGTCTAGTTTTTATCTGTCATCATACATTTGCACCTCTTTACCCCTTTCTCCCTCCTCCCATCTTCTTTCCATCTTGTACCACTAATCTGTTCTGCCAACTTTCCTCCACTTTATACGTGGGATACCACCACAGCATGGCTGATGAGGGGTGTAAGTCTGTGCCGGGGATCCAAATCCGCAGACACAGGTTGCTGAAGTGGAGTAAACTGAATTTAATCACTACGCCACGGGGCTGGACCCCAAACACCATTTATTGAAGACATTATCTTTTCCCCATTCTATGTTCTTGGTACCCTTGTAGAAGTTTATTTGACTGTATTTGCTTGGTTTGTGTCTGGCCTCTCTATTGTGTTCCACTGTTCCATGTGTCTGTTTTTATCCCAGTACCATACTTTTTGATTACTGTATCTTTGTAATATAGTTTGAAATCAGCACGTGTGATACCTCCAGGTTTGTTCTACTCCCTCAAAATTTCTTTGGCTCTTCGAGATATTTTGTGGTTCCATACAAATTTTAGGATTTTAAAATTTTCTGTGGAGGGGCTGGCCCTGTGGCCGAGTGGTTAAGTTCGCACACTCTGCTGCAGGCGGCCCAGTGTTTCATTGGTTCGAATCCCGGGTGCGGACATGGCACTGCTCATCAAACCACGCTGAGGCAGCGTCCCACATGCCACAACTAGAAGGACCCACAACGAAGCATATACAGCTGTGTACTGGGGAGCTTTGGGGAGAAAAAGGAAAAAAATAAAATCTTTATAAAAAAATTTTCTGTGGAAAATACCAATGGAATTTATAGGAATTGCATTGAATCTATTGATCACTTTGGGTAGTATGGGCATTTTAACAATATTAATTCTTCCAGTCTATGAATATTGCATATCTTTCCACTTAATTGTGTCTTCCTCATTTTTTTTTTCATCAGTGTCTTATAGTTTTAGCTGTACAGGTCTTTCACATCTTTGGTTAAATTTATCTCTGAGTGTTTTATTATTTTTGATGCTATTGTAAATGGGATTGTTTTCTTAATTTCTCATTCCAATATTTCCTTGTAAGTGTATA